CAGGAACAATTTTCATTTAATGGGCGGCTATGATTTCATTAGTAAAATTATGAGTAATTCCGGCCTAATCTTTTTTCGTCGCTCTTAGCCAATCAAAATCGAGGATCTGCCGGTCCAAATTTGTTGCGGCAGCTATGACATAGTGATAAATTGAAGATCCGACCTCAGTCAATATCTACCCGTGACGTAGAATTGATATTAATATCGCCGTTTGAAGTTGAACATTGAATCACCGAACGTCGCAGCTATCGAGGTGACATCACACGTAACTCTAAAATACGCAGTACGCTAAAATAGAGGAATATAAAGTATTAGTGTTGAACCTTTCGAAATTACCAAGACAATTAGGAGGTATAAGTCAAGCAGACTTATATTAATTCCGGCAACACATAATAAGACCCCAAAAGACTATTCGAAGCCTTCCAATTCAAGGTCATAGGAGTCTTGAGACTACTTTTTGAAGTCTTTAAGTAGTAGATTAGATAGTTTTAGTCTTATAGCTTAGTTTTTTGTTTAGTTTTAGCTTTAAACGATTAAGTCCCACTTTTCAACGTGTAACAGCCGCCTAAATAAATTATTAGTTTGTAAGATAAAATTATTTTAAAAGTTTGTTCAAGCTTCAATTGCATTCAATATTTTAATTAATTGTAATATTTGAGCACCAATATGATCATAAATTAATCACATTGAAGAATATACGTGAGCATATTTCAATCATATTACCATCTATACTATCGGTTTCAACACTTTCTCAAAAACGGTCTAATTAATAACGCCATAACGGTTGAACACTATCTCAATCACTAGCTAATCACATCGAGTGTGCTGCTTGAGAACACCCATAATTACATTAGTTTTGTACGTGCTCTTTCAAATCAACAGTGACACCGCGACGTCCCGGTTACCTGAAACTTTAAAAAAATTATATTACTAAAATAAAAATTGTTTAAGCCCAGAGCTCAATTATAGTAAGTGAAGCACAAATATAGAAAGTTTTTTAAACATGAATTATTGTTTTATTTAAAGAAATTGTGTAGATTAAAACTTTTCAAGGAATATTTTTAATTGGAGCGAAGAAGGCAGATTTGCCAATAAAAAGTCAGTTTGTTTTATATTATCTCATGATTCTAATCTATATACAAGAAACCCTCTGTAAAAATAATATTGAGCAACTAGACTTCTGTGACAAGATATAAATTGTAAAGGACTATTTCCTTTAAACAATTAACAATCTTAAGCGCGGAATCCAGCGCTTGGTAAATTAATATTAATTTAAGCAGCTTATAAGAGAAGTTAAAATTCAAATTTGAAAATATTTAGATGCGACTCTAATTCAACTTGTTTACTAGCTTGCTTAATAAGAAGCATTCCTTCGTGTTCATTTTTTTTGATACCTATACCATGATACAAACATCCACCATAATTGAACATTGCGATTGGATTTCCCTGAGTTGAAGCTTTTTCAAAGTATTCAATAGCTTGTTTTATATTTTTTTCGACTCCTTTCCCGTTCCAAAGGCAATACCCATAATACAATTGTGCTTCTGGTTTATTAATTTCTTCTGCACATTCTTTAAAGTACTTTGCTGCACTGATTTCGTTTCTTCCATCAACAAGATATAGTCCTGCCCAGAATTTGGCCTCAGAAATACCAAGTTCTGCCTGCTCTCTAAAACACTCCCAGGCCTTTTTTATGTCACCATTTTTCTTATTATACTCTTTAATCGCATCTTCTAGTGACAGTTCAAATTTAAATGATGTAAAATTAATAATCACTCTGGATTCATATTCGCTTAAAAGTCGTTTTGTATTACACAAGGTTTCCATTATTTCAGAAATCTTAGAACGATTCTTTGGATCCTTAGAGGTTGCTTTATAATAAAAGTAAAAAAAAATTAATAATCAGTTTTAGTCAGTTAGTTTCAATAGTATGTAATTGATAATAATGATTTGGCACCTTTATAGAATGCCTCCTTCCATTTTTCTGGCACATTTTCGGAAAATGGTTCATGTTCTCCATTTTTAATCATGGTTCGAATTTCTACAGGATTATTATAGTTTAAATATGGAATCTTTTCCTCTGCGATTTCCCAAATAAGCATTCATAAACTATGTTTTAGACTTTAGTTAATACACTAAATAATAAATATAAAATCAATCCTTCATTAAAAGTTTACCTATAGATTTCACAATTAAAATCATACTCGTAATCTTTTTTTAATTTTTCAGGAGCCATATATCGTATTGTTTCTATCGTTTCATCAATATTTCTAGTACCTTCGTTGAACCCACGACTAATACCAAAGTTAGCAATTTTGGATTTATGATCCTTCGAAATTAGTATATTAATTGATCTAATGTCTCGATGTGAATCTTTAATGTGTGCAAATAAATCAGCCCACGGCTAATATCAATTACAAACTCTACTTTTTCTCCAAATTTAGTGGTCTAAACTTTTCATAATATTCTTTCAAGTTTCCGTATTCTAACCATTCTGTGACAATATAAATTTTTGTTTTATCAGTAAATGTGCCATAGAACTCAATTATATGAGGGATTCTTCTAAGTTTTCTGAGAATGTCTATTTGTTTTCCAATTTGTTCTGCTGTATAGTCATGGAATTTGTTCATGTCTATTTCTTTAACTGCTATATGTTTTTTACCATTTGTCCATTTTTTAATATTGCATCCACGCGGCGGATTTTCTTCTGTAACTTTGTAATCCTGAATGTTGAAAGCCTCAGCATTTTTAGGCAAACTTTGGAAGACCGGTTTAAGAGGATTTCTGATATTATAGAAGTTTATAGATTGCTCTTCTTTGATTTCTTTTGCTGCTTTTAAAAATTCTATGATTTCCGAAGCAATATAGCCATTTTTATCTGCAACTCCCGGATTATTTTCAAAAAACTTAAAATTTGTTTTATTTTAGTACAAATTACATAAAAGGACAGATAAAAAAAAAACAATCACATACTCTCTTTATTTCGAGGCTATTTTAATCTTTCAAAATTTAAACTTAATTTTTTTGAACACTCATCAAAATTTTTTTCAAATTCACGGAATTGTTGTTCAATTTCATTTAGTGATTCAAAACTAGCCAATCCTTCGATTTGCGAAACCTTTTCAACAAAATTTACAATATTAATTATATATTCATTTAATTCAAATAATCCTTGATGTGTTCCCGGTTTAGCCAAAAATTCACAATAATCGGAATCATTTTTATTTGATTCCAATTCATTGACATATCTTTCAACATCAGCAACTCGCTCTACAAGAGCAAATCCGGTACGTTTGCAATGATTTGCATCTTCATATATTGCGGTTACTTTGCGGTAATATTTTTGGATATAATTAATTATTTCAATATAACTTCCAATTGGGCTGAGCGTTCTAAAGTTAATTCCAGAGCTCTTTAATTTTGGCATTACCAAAGCAAGCAAAGATGCAGTTAAAGAGCGTATTCGAATTATATTTGAATCGATTGTATTATATATGCATTATTATTGGAAAGTGGATGTTTGGTCATAGTAACACAAGTTACATTCTGGATATATTACTAGTTATGTTTTTGATTCATCTCGTAATTGATTCGTATTAATAATATGAAACTTTTCGTCAAGAAATTTCTGATTGACGAATTGACGAGTGGCGAAACCTATGACATGGATGATGCATAATTTGTACTCGTTTTTCAAAACAAATTATTATTATTGTTATTATATAAATAAGCTTACCAATCAAAAT